AGCCCTGAGTGGGCCCAAGCGTTAGGGGGTCTTGGAGCTCATAGAATCCAGGGTGGCAAACAGAGGTCACCCGCCTGTCCGGGAGGATGGACAAGCATCGGTGTCCTGGAATTCCCTTGGGATGGCGGGAGGAGGCACAGCGATCGATGGTGACGCCTGCTGCCGCTCAGGACGGGGCGGGCCTCTCCAGCTACAGATCCAGAAACTGAGGGGGAAGTAGGCTAGAGTCACCACGAGAGTGGCCGGGTCTAGCCTGGCCTGGCCTCCACCCACAGAGACCATCTCAGCTCTGCTCACTTAGCCCTTGGCCCCGGCCTCTGACATCCTTCGATTCCTGCTCACGACCCTCTCTGTCTGACACCACCCTCCACCCCCCGTTGGTGTTTAGAGGCCCTGGAAGCTGCCCTCCTGTGCCCCGACTTGGCCCTTCCTGACGCGCCAGCCCCTCCCAGTCCCTAAGAAGACAGAACCAGGCGCTGCCATCAAGGTGGCATCCGTGCACAAGATCACGGGGACCCCATGTGCACCTCACAGCTGCCGTCAGGAGACGTGACAGTATGTGGCTCCTGTCCAGTGCCTCCCGTGCTGGGGCAGAGCCGTGTAGAACGCCATGTGCTCGCCCCATTTAGTCCTCACAAGCGCCTGTGGGGTCAAATGCAGGTGGCTGATCATTTCTATATAGACACATGGCTTTGGAAATCGTGTCTCCAGGGAGAACTGGTACTGCCAGCTGCTGTGAGGCACTGGGCCCTTTCCAAGGGGACGCGCTATGGCCATCTCAGTGGCCCTTGGGATTATTCTCCACTCCGCGGCTGGGCACAGTGGCTCACACCTGTAATCCCAGCACTTTGGGTGGCCAAGGTGGACAGATCACAACATCAGGAGTTAAAAGACCATCCTCACCAACATGATGAAAGCCCATCTCTACTAAAAATACAAAAATTAGCCGGACGGGGTGGCACAGCTACTCAGGAGCTACTGGGGAGGCTGAGTTGGAGAATCACTTGAACCCGGGAGGCAGAGGTTGCAGTGAGCCGAGATTGCACTACTGTACTCTAGCCTGGGCAACAGAGTGAGACTGTGTCTCAAAGAGAAAAATTATTCTCCGCTGCAGACTAGACGAGGCGTGGAGCAGTGGAGCTGTTGGCTGGCAGAGGCCCCAGTCCATCATCTGAGCCCTGCACAAACCTTCCTGACTTCTGAGCACTCACAAGCCCTCACTCAAATCAGGTCGGGACAAATAACCCAGGCTCCCCAGGTGTCTCTGGAGTGGCCCCAGGCCCCAGGCTCTTGCACTCACCTGCTTCCTGGCTTGGAGAAGCATGCTCACCCTACAAGGCCCGAGGAAGACATCCACTTCCTCTAGGAAGCCTGCCTCGATTCCCCCAGTGGATGTTTACTCTTCCTGACCCAAAGCCTCTGCAGGACCTCACCCTCTGCCGGCTGCCCCTCTCCCTGGTGCAGGGGTCAGCATGGGTGTCTCCCTCCATGTAGCCCTGTGCTGATGTCCAGTCTGGGGCTGGGGGAGGATTGTGGAGAAAATGGATGAGGACACTTGAGTGGCTTAGGGGACCCAAGTATCTCTGGCTCCCGAAAACTGCAGGTGAAGACCAGCCGAGGAGGGCGTCCCCAGCAACCCTTTCCCCACATTGTTTGGCACCCAGGCAGCCCTCACATGGTCCCTGCAAAGAAAGGGGGCTGTGGCTGAGCCCAGCGGGTCATGCTCAGGGGCTGTCCTGGAGAAGATGCAGCGGGATGGTGCGCTGGCTGCACCAGGCGCGGCTTCTCCCGGAGGCCCTGGACGCAGAGCAGGAAAGAGTTAAGTCTTCTGTGAGCAACTATGCGAAGGAAGTGGTAAACAATTTTTCTCTCCCTCGGCTAAATTAATATGCAAATTCCTAAACCCCCCTCCATTCCCTACCCCTGCCTTGAAATTAGCGAGGTAGAATGCTAGGGCTAATTATGCATTCAAACGAGCAGGCTGCGTTCACTGGGCGCTGAGGGGATGCGGGAAATGATTGTAAGAAGATGGAGCTGACATTCTAACGCAGCCCTCCCGCTGCATCTGGAGCTGCTCACGCGCCCAGCAGATGTAACCCGGCAGTGACTGCCGGCTGCCCCCGGCCTGGGAAGGGGGGACCGTGTACACAGCCATGTAGCCTTCTTTTTCCCCACCGAGGAGCCCCACGTTGCCAGCCTGGCACACCACCTCGCCACCGAGGAAGCCCACATTGCCAGCCTGGCACACACCACCTCCCCACCGAGGAACCCCACATTGCCAGCCTGGCACACACTGCCTCCCCGGGAGCCTTTGCTGCTCATACCCTGAAGTCAGAACCTCAGACCAGTGTGCTGGGGTGAAGGCCACGGCAGGCAGCCAGAGCCACGGAGGCCTCAGACCGTGTGAAGCAGAGCCCTGGAGCTCTGCCAGTGGGCGTCTGACCACGTGGTGCCCTCACTGCAGCCGCCCACACCGCCAGCCCAGTCAGCCACCACACCTCCCGAGCAGATGCGTTATAAATTTAAGTTGTAACTAAATTTTCACTTCGAAATAGAGTTTCCCTGCAAAGTCAGTTTGACTAGCAAGAGAAACAGGCCAGAGGCTGCCTGGCATCAGAGAGGAACAGGGCCACAGGGAGCAGGCAGGCTTCCTGAGCCCCAGCTCTAAGATGGGCCAGGCTGGAACCCTTTCTCACAGGGCCTCACTCTGCATTTACTAGAGAACCCAACCTCCCTGCCTCTTGGGGCCTGTCCCAGCCACATCCTATCATGCGCCTATCAGTGGTCCCAGCTGCAGGAGCCCTCAGGCTGCACATCACAGGGCCCTCACCTGGCACGGCCTCTCCCTCACCTCCGGCTCAGTCAGTCAGTCTCAGGGCCCTGTCCAGAACATCTGCCTCGGCCCAGCCTTCCGCCTCGCCCCCTGCACCCTGGGCCACTGCCCTTGTGAAGGCTCACAAGGCCTCTTTTCCTCTTGTGGAGCACGGAGGCTTAATATTCCCCAAGTCCAAGCGTGTTTTTCCCACTTGTCTCTAAACCCCTGCAGGAAACAGCTTTGTGCTGGATCTCTGGAGCACCCATGGCACCTGGTCCTGACCTCAGCTTGCTTAAGACCTGTCCATGGGGACACTGCTGCAAGGATTGGTTAGGCAGCTCCAATCTGCTGGACATGCTATTTGTAGCTGCACATGACAAGGAGGCTCCTTTCTGAAATGTGTGCCTAGTACTTCAGAGGAAGTCCTTGATGGGTCCATATACTGGTCCAGGTTTACTCACACTGTAAAAGAAGCAACATTATCACCGTCACCATCACCATCATCACCGTCACCATCAGCATCACTATCCTCATCATCATCACATCACCATCATCACCATCGACACCACCATCATCACCATTATCACATCACCATCATCATCACCATCACCATCGTCACCACCATCATCACCATTATCACCATCACCATCATCACCATCACCATCACCATCATCACCACCATCACCACCATAATCATCACCATCACCACCATCATCATCACCATCACCACCATCACCACCATCACCACCACCATCACCACCATCATCACCACTGTCACCACCATCACCACCGTCATCACCATCACAACGATCACCATCACCACCATCACCACCACCATCACCACCATCACCACCATCACCACCATCACCATCACATCACCACCATCATCACCACCATCATCACCATCATCACCATCACCATCATCACCACCATCATCACCATCACCACCACCATCACCATCACCACCACCACCATCACCACCATCACCGCCACCATCATCACCATGACCACCATCATCACCACCATCACCATCACCACCATCACCATCACCACCATCATCACCACTATCACCACCATCATCACCATCACCACCACCATCACCATCATCACCACCATCACCACCACCACCACCACCACCATCATCACCACCATCACCATCATCACCACCATCACCACCATCATCACCATCATCACCATCATCACCATCACCATCACAACAATCCTCGCCATTTTCTGGTCATTGATTTGGTACCAGACATCATGCAGAAGGGTTTAGACATAAGATCACATTGAATATGCACAGCTCTTTTGAGGTATGTACTATTATCCTCTGTCTACAGATGAAGACACTGAGGTCTCTAGCTAGTGACAGAGCCTGAACTTGAACCTTGTCCTTCTGACACCAAAATGCCAAGTTCATAGCCCTATATTCTTCTTCCCATGTCCTCATGGCCATGCCTTCCAGTGAGGGGATGAAGACCAAAGGAGAGGCTCATCCAAGCAGAAATGGAGACCCACTGCTGGAGAGGCCCAGACCTCTGAGGCCAGAGCTTAGGTCATGCATGGCCTGAGGGATTTAGATTAAATGAAACCCAAGACTTCCAAATAATGTGTGTTCTTAGTTAGCAGAACAGCCAAGAGGAGGAGATTCTTGCCTCTCCCAGAATGTGCAAAGACCAGCAGGCTGATGGCTTGTGGGTGTCAGACCCAGCCTGGTTGCCTTACTGTGCAACCTGATAGGGGCGTCCTTTCCAGGCAGGCAGGCAGGTAGGTCGGGCTGGGGTCTCAGGACCTAAAGGCTGTCCCTGCCCTCCCTGACCTGGAGGAAGATATGTGAACCTGGGCTGTGGGGGATGCAGGAGCAGACCGTGGACTGTTTCCCTGTCTAGGCCAAGGGCTGTGACTGGCCTCAGTTTCCCTCCTATCCCGTTAGAGTGTTGGACTAGATGCTCTCTAATGACCCTTTCTTGCCTAAAGTTTTGTGATTCCAAGTGCAGGATCCTATTAATTTGCCCATCTGTCCCTTCATCCAACCCCCAGAAGCATTGCCAGATGCCTCTGAGTGCACAGCATGCCCGGTCCTCGACTCAGGACGACCCACGGAGCCAGCACTGCACCCCACCTCCACCTCCCACCTGCTGCCTTCCTGCCATCCAGCTGGAACAGCCCTGGTTTCCAGGTAAAGGCGTCCAGAGGGCCTGTGCCAGTCCCAACGGCCACACACATGGATGATGCTGTGAAACTCATCGGCTGTGGGGGCTCCCGGAGCCACCCATGAAGATGTAAGGTGCAATGTGCGGCTGGGTCCTAACACGCAGGCCAGGTGCACATCACTGCGGGGACGGCAGCCGGGGCAGGAAACGGAGCGTCCAGGTGGTGAATCTCCACTGCTCATCAACAGGCTGCAGCAGCTCTGAGCAGCCCAGGAGTGGGAACCGGAAGAGGTCACGAGGCAGGCGGGTAGGTGTCCCAGGGCAGGGAGGGCCTGGAGCATGATCCTCACATAAAGAAGAAAAGTGACCGTCTGGGAAAGGAGCAGTGAGACCCCAGGCTTCATGGCGGTGTGAGCCCCAGAGCACATTTTGGGGGCCTGGCAGGGTGACGGCAGCTGAGATGGGACAAGACCGCCGGGCCTGACAGGCAGTGGCCTCCATTCTGGAAGCGGCTGTGCCGGAGGCCACCACACCTGGCCAGGCAGGGCAGCCAGGTGGGACCTCAGGTGCTCACCGATTACTCTGGCAGGAACCTTCGGGAGGCAAGAGGGGCCCCAGCAGCTGCTCCTTCGCTTCCTGAAACCGCCTCCTGCCTGAAGGGCTGGGATGCATTGTCCCTCCGAGGGGCTGCCCGGCCGCTGACTCTCCGCGTGCAGCCACTCATTGTGGTGGAGCTGCCCTCTGGGCGCTGGGTAACTCCGGGCTGCAGTGCTGCTGCAAATTGACACCATTTCTTCTGTGGAAGGTGCTTTATTTCCACACCACAGGCAGAGTTATTACCCTGCCAGCAGTTCAGGGAGCAAGGCAGCACACACCCCTCCCGCTGTGCAAACCAGTCACTGCCCGCATGGGGGAGGGCACTGGCCAAATCCCTGGTCGGTGAGCTCAGGAGAGCTGGGGCATCCTGGGCAGGGAGCTATTTCCCGGGAGGGTCCCGGCTGCTTGTGCTGGCCCTGGAGATGACACTGGGCTCCAGGACAGACACGTGCAGCTTCCTTCCTGGGCTCGGTCGGTCGCCTCAGGGAAGCAACGTGGTCTCTCTTCGGATCCATCTCCCCTAATGCGGAGGCTGAGAGTGCCTCTGTGAACGGTTGTGTGACCCTTTCCCTGCCGCTTTAGGTGACAGTTAAGGTCAAGATGCCCTGACCCAGAGGCTGGGAGCAAGGAGGGTATAGGAGTCACAGAGGTGGGGACAGCCCTACGGCCCCCAGCAAGCCTGCTGGGCCCCTCCCAGCTGAGGCCGGCCCTGCACAGCCAGAGCAGAGCCCAGGGCCAGCCACCCCAAGAGGGCACCCCATGTGGGGCAGACTCTGACCGAGTGGGACCTCACTGTAGCCACCACCTGCAGCCCAGGGCCTTGAGGAGGCCTGACAGAGCCAGACAGAGCCTGTGGACGGAGCAGAGGCTGCTGTGGACTCAGCCTGGGCCAGACCCCTTCTCCTTTGACCTGGGGCACAAAGGTCCCCTCTGTGTGGGACTCACAGACTGGCCGCTTTTTACTCCTCACACAGCTCCCAGGCCCCTGGAAACTTCTGTCCACCTCATCCTTCTTGGTCTCACCGGCCCTGGCCCAAGGTCCTCTGCCCTCACTGCCTGGCTGGGGGCTGCGTGAAGACCCCAAGCGCAGGGCTGGGCATGAAGTCTGGTCTCCACGCACTGGACCTGGCGTGGTGCCAGCTCCCTGCCAGCACCGGGTGCATGAGCACATGGACAGAGGTGTGGACAGATCACAGCAGTCACCGCAAGGCCAGGCCAGGCCAGCTGCCACACAGCAAGGGGCAAGGTGGGCTTCAGGAGCCCAGCCTTGCTGGCACAGGGTAGGGAGCTGTCGACCACCAAGGAACTAAAGGAAGAGAGAGAGAGAGAGCATCTCCGCCCCAGGCCTGTGAGAGTGGTCCTGGCTCCTCCCTGTGCTGGGTGGCAGCTGCCCTCCCTCCAGAGCCCAGCCCCAGGGCTGATGTGCCCACACAGCTGGCACTGGGCTCTCAGGAGGCAGAGGGGGGTGCAGGCAGCCGGACCCCTGACCCTTAGCAGGGCAAAAGGGAGGCAGAGGCCCAGTGTCTGTCTCGGGAGGCACAGTGGGCAGCTGGGGTTGGCGCACAGGGAGTGGTCACCCAGGGTTGGCACAGGGGGAGGGGCTGGCCGGGTGTCCACTCCTTCCTGGGCTTGTTGGGAGGCCGGCCCCGTCTCCATGGTGTGTGGAGCTGCGGAAGGCTTTATGTCAAGAGGCAGAAAGGCCCCATGAATATTTCATTAGGGAGGCAACATGGGGCCGCCAGGAACATCTGGCAGGAGCCTCTTGGGAGCTCTGAGCCAGCGCGGGAAGCAGGGACTGTGAAACTCAGAGGCGGAGGGAGGGGGGCTGTGGCAGGCAGAGGGTCCCCTCCAGCGTTCACTGTTACTGCTGTGGCCCGGCCAGCCTGCTCCCCTGACCAAGACCATCCCCGCGCGGGGGCACCTGTGGGTGACGGCAGGACTGACCTCCTCGCTCCCCGACAGCCCCCTGGTGACCCTTCCCACCCAGGCCCATGGCCTGGGGCACCCACTCACACCACTGTCCTCATGGCTGAGACCAGGAGCCCATAGCTGCTGCCACCCCCACTCCCAGTGCGGACCCCAGGCCAGGGTTCCAGCCGGCACCTCGCCCACCTGTGTCTCCTCTGGGAATCCTAGAATGTGGGCGCCCTGCCCTGAGCCTGAGGGACGCTATTGTCCCCGAGTCTGGCAGCCATTTGCCTGAGTGTTTATGCCACCAGCACCCATGCTGAGGCCTACCCAGCCCGTCCTGTGTGTCCATGCCGGAAGAGGGCAGTGGGCACAGGGCTGTGTCCAGACACTGTTAGGGACGCTTACTGTGCCAAGGTCCACCGGACATCGCCCCCCACATCACCCCCACATCAGGACTTGGAATAGGAAGCCCCTGTCGTGAAGTGTCGGCCAGAGTCAGGCTGAAGCCTCCCGGGACTGTGGGCTCAAGAGGAAAAGGAGACTGAGGGCGGCCAATCATTGGAGCCCTGCCCCACCCCTGCCCCCAGGACCTCTGAACCTTGCCCCAAAGTTCTGAAGCATAACCCAGATCCCAGGACCCTGTGTCCCCCATCTCTGCCTGACCCTAGGACCCTGTGTCCTGACCTCTGCCCAATCCCAGGACCCTGTGTCCCCAACTTCTCAGGCTCTGGGACCCTGTGTCCCCGACCTCTGCCCTGACCCCTGGGCGTCTGGACCAGACCAATGCTGCCCTCCTCCACCTCCCTCAGCCCTCCCTGCCCCTCAGCCCAGCCCAGGCTCCTGACCTTGGCCTCCGAGCCCCCTCCTAGCCCCTTCAGGGTGGAGGCTCCCATGGGCCAGCAAGGCTCCAGGCTTGGATTTTTGAAGTCCTCGAGCCCAGCCTCCTCCCAGCCCCTGCTCGTGTGCTCCCATCTCCCCTCAGTTGGAACCTTCTTTCTGGGACTGGACTGGCCTCCCAGAGCAATGACTGGGATGGCAGCCAGCACGGATCCCCCCATATGGCCAGGGCCCCTCTGTGCCATGCCCCTGCCAGGGCGTGGGTCTGTGCCAGCCTCTGCCAGCTGATGCTGCTTGCCATGGATCATGCTGAGGGGCAACAGCCAGGCACCCGGGCTAACACTCCCAGCCCTGCCAGCTCCACGCCAGCCCACTGGGGGCTGCCCATCTTTCTGAAGGTGAAAACCCCTCCTCCCACAGCCCCCAGCTCTTTCTGCCCGGCCTGTAATTGTGGGAAGGGCAGCAGGACTTTGCCTTGGAGCTGCTGGGGAGTCCCTCACCCCAGGCTCCTTCCCGTTCTCAGCAGCCAGGCTCGGGACGCCGCCACCCACACTCCTGCTACAGCACATTTGGCGTCCGTCCCATCCTTCCGCACAGGCTCGGAGGCGCCAAGCCAGGCTGCAAGAGGTGGGGCAGGGGGCTCTGGGACGATGGGAGGGAGGGCAGGCCTGCTGCCCAGGAACCCTGGACCCCGAGGTGCCGCCCTGCAGCCCACCCTTCCAGCCCACGCCTGCGGAATGCAACCAACATTCAGGGACCATCTGGGCGCTGGCCCTGGGAGCCCCAGTGCATCAGGCGGAGGTGACGAAGCCGTGAGACCCCAGAGGAAAGCCCCACACGCAGCCCCCATGGGCACCCCGTGCTGGCCCCACCCAGCCTGCCCAACCTAGCTCCCTGGAGGAGAAGGGCCAAGCATGCCCAGGCAAACATGCCCCAGGGCGGCGCTGGGGGAGCCGGGAGGAGGCATCGCCTACCAGCCTGGCCCAGACCCCCCGTGGGACTCAGCCCTCCTCAACGCTGCCACGCACTGCAACCCAGAGCCAGGCTGTGATCCGACCCCGGCCTCTGGCACCCAACGAAGATGCCAGGTGCCCACTACCCTCGAGCCCGCACCCTTTACCTGCACTGCCGCTGCCGGGATCCACCTGCCCCAGCTGGCCCTCCCCAGCTCCTCTGCCAACTGCGGCCGCCTCCCGCCACGGCTGCCAGCGATCGTGGGGGTTTGTGGGTGGGTGTTTGGCCCACGCAGCCGCTAGCACGCATCGGTGGCACGCGTCCATCCTCACCGCACGCTGCCTGGACCTTCCTCCTGGTGCCTCCGAAGTCCCCGGCGCTGGCTCGGAGGGGACTTGGCACGGATGGAGTCTGGCCAGCGTCTCGCGGCAGAGTATAGACACGCTTCTTTTTTCTGTATTTTAAACACACACACATACTCTCACACGCACACACGCCAAGCCCCCGCCCCTGGCAACACGCATCCCTTCTGTCAGGAGCAGACCCAGCCAAGAATGCCCCAAGCAGGCGGGGGCAGAGAGAAGAGAAGGGGCTCCTCAGCCTGCAGCCCCGTCCCTGCCGCCCCCGTTGCTCTCCCTCTTACGTAAGCCACTGGGAAGAAGAGGAGAAAACGCAGACCCACGTCACACCGCCATGCCTCCTGATTGGGCTCACCTTCACCAGCCAGATCCCCTGGGGCACGCTCTGGCCTGGCCACCCTGTCCTCTGCCCAGCCTCCCTCTGCCCCTGCCCGTTTGCCTTGGTGACCGCACCCAGCCTCTTGCATTCCTTCTCCTGAAAGGCATTTCTTCATCCAGTGCCAACCCTGGCTCCTGTGCCAATACAGTGGTCGGTGAGACAGCAAGGCCGGCCAAGAGTCTGGCGGGACGACCGGGGCATTTGCCAGAGTCCTGACCTATGTCTGAGGGGTTAGGGTAACCCAACTGGACGTGAAAGTCAAGGTCAGCCTCAGGTTGAGGACAGGGGCGGGACAGAGCCTCAGCGAGGCGCCTGCTCCGTGCAGACCCCACCGTCTCCGCCGCTTCCCTTGCTTGAAGAACCCCAGGTCAGTTTCGTGCATCCCTGCTGACGCTGGAGACATAGGTGACAGCTCCCGGGCATCAGGGAGAGGTGTTGGGGAGAGAGCTGGGAGTCGAACCTCCAGCCCCTCTTCCTGGGTGGAGTCACCTGGCACCTCAAGGTGGAGCTGGCGTCTGAGCCCTGAGGAGGAGGCTGCTCCCTCCAAAAGGTGGATGAAGAGGCTGAAGGAGCCCAGGGAGCAGCTGCCCTGCCTTGATAGTCAGCTTGTCACCTGAGAAGACAACCCAAGCCCATCTCCCTGCGACTTATGAACACTGCAGTGGGAGGAGAGAGGCCGGGCGGGTGCTGGAGGGCGGAGTGAGGGCCCTGCCAGGACCGCTCCCTGCCCCTCACCCCGCGGGGTCCTTGTGCGGAGACAGATTGCATCTGGGTCACTGGCCCCCTCAAACCTGCCCTCCTGAAACCGGCCACCTTGGCCGCTGGTCGCCTGGTGGCAGATGCCTCTTCCCAGCATTTTCAGGCACCGCACGGCTCTTCTGAGTGTCAACCATTTTTATCCAACCCACTAAAGACAACCCTAGTGAGCTTCAGAACCCCTGGAGTGCCCCAAAATGGACAAGCAAGGAGCCTCACCCCAGGATGCTAACACCCTCCAGGGCTGACTGCAAGACTCAATGCCTGGACACTGCACAGCCAGATCTTGTGGCTGGGGCTCCTGGGGACACCCCACCCCCAGAAGCGCCCCGTCCTCTTCCCGGTGCCCTGCTGCAGGAACACCAGTGAGGGAGTGGGCGGCAGTTCCTGCCTGTGGCTTCTGCCCTGCGGCTGCGGCCCTCCTCGCCCCCGCCAACCACCCCCATCTCACGGTCCCCACCCTCCCACCCTGGGCCTGTGCCCTCCCATCCTCGAGGCCACGCCCTCTCGAGGCCAGCCAGGCAGCTCCTGCTCACAGGTTGCATTTAGGCCACAGTCTGACCTCAGGCCTCTGGGTGTCCCTCTGCATCAGCGTCCCCAGGCCCCGGGATGGAGGAGGTCCTGTCAAAGGTATGCGTCAATGGGGGGCAGCCCCTCCCTGCCCCTGGCACCCAGGTCCCGAGGGTCTGTCTGTCTCACGAGGTGGCTGGGCCCCAAGTCTGGGGTGCAGGGTCAAGAGGAAGGCTGGATTCCTGCCACAGGCAAAGGGGTCGGGGCCCCAAGGGCAGACACATAGGGCATATCCCTTGACCCTCTGGAGGCCTCCTCTTCCACAGCTGTGGCCTCCCTGGTCCCTCCTGGCCCACGGGGCATTGGTCTAAGAGCCTCTCCCGGCCCTTCCAGCCTGAGATGAGGCTGCGTCCTTGAGCCCTGGCAAAAATGGCCAAATCTTGCCTCCAGCCTCAGCCTCCCTGGGCAGCCTGGCCTTCACAAAAGGAAGACCAGTGGGACAGTGGCCGAGGGGAGGCTGTTAGGGTGTTGGTGGGACAGTGGAGACAGGCCCCACCCTTGACCTTCTGCTGGTCAGTGGATGGATGGGCGTGGTGGTGCACACCTGTAATCCCAGTTACTCAGGAGGCTGAGGCAGGAGAATCACTTGAACATGGGAGGCGGAGGTTGCAGTGAGCCAAGATTGCAACACTGCACTCCAACCTGGGTAACAGAGTGAGGCTAAAAAAAAAAAAAAAAATCCTGAAGCAAGGGAGAAAAGAGTGGAGTCATCACTCTAACTGTCGTGGATGTTAAAACCTTCTCCACAGTGACAATATCGAGAAAGTGGCATGTGGGCAGCCGGGTAGACCCCCAACCAATGAAACAGAACAGAAAACCCCCTGAAACTGATCCACACAAATATGCCCACCTGATTTTTGACAAAGGTATAAAAACAATTCAGTGGAAGAAGGACAGCTTTTCAATAAATGGTGCTGGAAGAATCAGATCTCTAGAGGCAAAAAAAAAAAAAAAAAAAGGAACTTTGACCTAAATCTCATAACTTACACCAAAATTAACTCAGAACGTATAGGCAAACAGCGGCCTGTCCCTCGGTCTGCTCTCAGCAGTGCTGGCTTTGTTCCTGTCATCTCAGGATGACAGTTATCCTGTTTCGCTCTGCGTGTTTGCTGTTTTCTAGCTCCGGGTAGCTATGCCACATTTCACTCTACTTTTCAGTAGTTGCTAGAGAGATATTCACCCTGTTTTAATTTTCTAGTGCTTGCCTTACTTTTCTCTGACCAGGGCATCTGTTAGGAACCATCTCCCCATGTGTGAGGACTTGGCCTGCCTCCGAACCCCCCTTCCCCCGCCGCCAGCACCGCCTCCCAGGGCCACTCATTTTGCTGGCATGTGAAGAAGGTGGATACTCACTGGGTATGGTGGTACATGCCTGTAGGAGGCCAAGGCAGGTGGATCACTTGAGCCCAGGAGTTTGAGACCAGTTTGAGCAATATGGTGAGACCCCATGTCTACTAAAGACACAAAAAAAATCCCCAGGCATGGTGCTGCATGCCGCTAGTCTCAGCTACTCGGGAGGCTGAGGTGTGAGAATCGCTGGAGCCTGGGAGGTCGAGACTGCAGTGAGCCCAGATCACACCGCTGCACTCCAGCCCAGGCGACCGAGTGAGACCCTGTCTCAAAAAAAGAAAACGCAGGCTCAGCGGATGGACGTGCGTGTGAAGCTTTCTTTTGGAATTGTTGGTGGGACTTGCACCCTGTCCCCTGCTCACATCACAGTGATGATGGAGGTTTTGGATCTTAGCCCCTTGGTGTGCGGGCTCCTCCTGCTGCCTTCTGCGATGTCAGGAAAGGTTCAGCTGCTCCCACTAGCTTTTAGGACTTCGGCACGCATGTATTCAAGGGATCCCAGGCTGGTTCTTAAGCGCACGCAGGCCTGCTGTACAGGTCGAATGTACAGGATGAAATCCGAGCTCCACGTCGGCCACACGCACCCCTATGCTGTTCCTCAGTTCAGCAGGGTGGACCTGTAATGGGCCTTGGGGCCTTTCCCTCTTCCTGGGGTTCTCCCCTCCTCCTGCAAATCCCCCTCCTCCATCAAAAACCACCCCCGGGTGTGGACGCAGCACCTTGCTGAGGGTGCCCCTGAGCTCCCGCCTTCTCCTGGGGTGGGAGGAGCGCCCAGTGGACACTAGAAGCATCTGAACTGGTGCATGGTGCGGCCCCGACGACCCTCCCGGCATGTGGCGCGGCCGTGGCGACCCTCCTGGTGCGCAGCGCAGTCCTGATTTCCCAGAGTGTGGCCCTGACCTCCTGCTGGGGTCTGCACTTTCCCAGTGGGGTCCGCACTTTCCCGGAGGGCTCCACGCTTTCCCTTGGGCTCTGCTCCATACTTGCCCCCAGGACCAGCAGCCATTGGCCCTCCATGTGCTCACCTCGGGGCACCCAACGGGCGCTCGCTCCTGCCTGCCCTGTGGCCTTCCCCGTCCTGGTCTCACCTGCCCCAGGGGTGCTGGCTGTGTCTTCACGTACGCACACCCCAAATGAAGCACAGGAACCACCTGGGGAGAAGTTTTATGAGAAGAAAAAACACTTTATGACAGAAAAATAAGAAGAAGTAAACTAGTAGCTGGGAGCAGCCCCCTTAGCCAATCCCTGGCCTCCATGGGCCAGTGGCTGAGACCTGGGCTAACAGCCAAGGCCACCGCACCCGGGAAGCTTCCTGGTGATTTTCAAGGTCTGGTTACCCAGAGGGCAAAGGGGTGCTGGGCTCTGTGGAAACGCTGACCTCCAGCCTCCACCTCCATAGTGAGGAGCGTGAAGCCCCAGGGCGGATGGGAGATTCCTGGCAAAGGTGGCCCCTCCCTGTGCTCCTCACCCACACAGGGGCCTTGTTGCTCCCCTGGGAATCTGGCGGTTTTGTGGGAGGGAATGTTCAGCGACTCCAGCCTAGGCCTCCAGGGGCTCGGCCGTGGCACTCCTAAGCTTCAATCGCCAGGGAGACAGCAGGGTGGGGCAGGCAGAGCAGGGACAGCCTGTGGGGCATGGCTGTGTCCAGCCTGGAGCGAGGAAAGGCAGGGTGACAGGAATGGGGACCCTCAGACAAGGGGAGGTGGAGGATTTTTGGGGTCTCCTGGCGGGGGTGGGCATCTGGGACCACGCAGCCCCAAAGAGGCCATGAGAACCACAAGAGTGTGTGAGACACCCCATGATTAAGGGGCATGGAGCAGACCAAGCAGGGTCCCAGAGCCCAGAGCACCGAGGGTGGAAGGACCGGCTGTGGACAAGGATGGGGGTCTGACAGAGGAGGGTGACAGAGCCAGGCAGCCATGGTGGCTGCAGGGCTGTGGTGGGAGGGAGGGAGTGAGTCTGTGGGAGCTGGGGAGAGGAGGGGTGGGAGGGCTCCACAGGGCTCCTGCAGGCAGGCGCCCAACCAAGGCATAGAGAGAAGCCAAAAAATCGCTGGGTTTTGGGTGCCCCCACAGAAACACAGGGCCCACAAGAAAGTGGGGAGCCCCTTTCTACCTGGGCCCCACCCTCAAGGGTGGCTGGATGAGTGGTTTGGGGGCTTAGGGTGGTGGCCGTGCTCCAGGCCCATCCCAGAGGGGGGATTCGGGGCCTGGGATTCTTGGAGAGGCAGGGTCGCACATGCGGCCCCACCTGCCCCCCACCCTGGCCCGCAGCCTTCTACCCCCGCTGCTACCCAGCCCCCCACTTTCTACCGTCCCCCCCGGCACCCCAGTTTCTGCCCTCGCTGCCTCCAGTACCCCACATTCTACCCTTCCCCAGCCCCCACTTTCTACCCTCTCTCTTCTTCTCTGGAAATGTCTCCCACTCTGGTCCCGGAACCAGAAGTCAGGGCTCTGCCGATGAGCTCAGAGTGGCCCACCCCGGAAACCCTGCCAGGCTTCTGAGGAGCTGCAGACCTGCCCTGCTCCCCGGAGCCTCATGCCTGCCTGGGGGGCAAGAAGTCTAAGTCCAGCCCCC